CTGTCCTTCCTGAACTGAGGGGCCCAGAACTGGACACAATACTCCAGATGCAGCCTCACCAATGCAGAACAGAGGGGGAGGAGAACCTCTCTTGACCTACTAACCACACCCTTTCTAATGCACCCCTGGATGCCATTGGCCTTCTTGGCCACATTGCTGGTCACGCTCATCCTCCTGCCCACCAGGACCCCCAGACCGGGACACACCTTCAACTTGGCGCCGGATACACCCATCGTGTTGGTTCTAACCATTTTTTTTCTGATCTTGTTTCCTCTTCTCCCCGCTTTGCCGGTGCCCGGGGGGTTCGGTTCGAGTGCGGCGCTGGGTACGTCCTGCAGGGCTCCCGCAGCATCCAGTGCCTCACCATGCCCGGGGCCCTGGCCCAGTGGAACGTCTCGGTACCCACCTGCATGGGTAAGTGTCAGCGGGCTGGAGGGGAAAGACAAAAAAGGGGTTCAGGAAGTTGCGTGAGAGAACAACAAAAAAAATGGTTTATTTTGTGTGAGAAACATTAACTAACACAGGTTAGTTGCACTCTTGCAAGAGTGGGTGACCTAAACAAGTGGGCACACCCCATAGTAAATTGAGGAACTGTTTATATTCCCTATTCCCAACGCAAGGTTCCCTCCCCTGTTTCCCCACTGACTGGGTACTCCAGGGTTTACAGCCCATCTGACACTTCTAATTACCCTGTAAGTTTCCTGCCCCTGTTCACACATTCCATTCTAGGTATTTACTTTTTACCTTTTAAGGTTAAATTCTGACCTTTCTTGCCCCCTGACTGTCTTCCCAATCACCAGAATGATTTATACCATCTGGTGCCATCCTGTCCTGAGGAGTAACATGGGAGTGACTTTGTTCTGTCCTTATCATCATGAAGATGATAACCTAGGTGGTTAAAAAAAACACAACCTGGCAACAACAACAAAACCAAAGCACCAATGAAATAAAAAACCCTACTTCATTCTTCTTCTATGGAAAAAGCCTGTAAAAAGGGGCAGTTAACCCCAAATGTCAGGGAATCAACAGTTTGGGTTGGAAGGGACCTTAAAAGTCATCAGGTTCCAACCCCCTGCATGTGCAGGGACACCTCCCACCAGCCCAGGTTGCTCCAAGCCCCATCCAACCTGCCCTTCAACACTGCCAGGGATGGGGCAGCCACAGCTTCCCTGGGCAACCTGGGCCAGGCTCTCACCACCCTCACACCCAACAATTTCCTCCTCATGTCCAACCTCAGTCTCCCCTCTGCCAGTTTTAATCCATTACTCCTCATTTTCTCACTACAAGCCCAAAGGACCTTGTGATCCAATACTCACTTGAGGTCTGGGACACTGTCTAGCAGAAATAAGACCTGTTTGGAAGCAGCATTCACCTCCTTTGGAGGACAGCAGTTCCTAAGAAACCAATCCCATGGGTTGAAGTCCCCACTGTTCCCCACACTGTGTGCCAGAAGTTGTGTGAGAGACTCACTGAAAAGAGGATTATTCAGACAAATCTTACCCTTAAATGGTGAGCCAGTCCTGCTTGCTTTTTTGTCCGTGGACAGATAAAGAGGTTGGTTTAGTACAAAGCCATGTCCTTGCATGTTCAGGCATTGCTCTGCTTATTTCAGTGCCATGTGGTGGAAACCTGACTGAGCGCAAAGGGACCATCCTGTCCCCAGGCTTCCCAGAGCCCTACCTGAACAGCCTCAACTGCGTGTGGAAGATCACGGTCCCCGAGGGAGCAGGGATCCAGGTAAGGTGCTGGTGGCTGGAGCAAGGGCTGGAGAGGAGAGCAGACAGTATCTGCTGCACTGAAAGAGGCCCCACGTTAGGAACCTGCTGCTCCTCCCAGCAGAGAGATGGTGGAATGTGTCGTTCTGTAGAATCAGACCTGCACTGGCTCTGGGACTGCCAAGAGTGTGTAGTATTTCAGTGCATTTTTGCCTCCTGGAGGCTCTGTGGGAAGTCAGCTGGAGTCATGTGGCTGTTCTGCTGTAACAAAATAATTGTGGTATTTTGGGCATATATCTTTATACTGCTTAATTATGCAATGTTGAAAGCAGTGTAAGCTACACCACGGAAGAGTTGCTTGCTCAGAGTGCCTGCGTGGATTTGTTATGGCAGCAGAGTTGCAGCAGGGTGATTATACAATTACAGCTTTGCTGTTCATTGTCTCCTGGTAAATGAGCTCTCTCTTCAGGTCTTTTTGTGGTCCTTATCATTCCTCTGCAGAAACAGAGGATGGTGAGAAGGAAGCCCAACATCAGAGACCAAACCTTAGATAAAGTTCTCATTCGGGACACACGTGCCTTGACCTCACAAGTGTCTCCCTGTGCCTTGCACTGACATCAGTTGATGCAGAGGAGGTGGCTTTAACAGGTTTATTTATTCCACAGGCCTCACAATCAAAGGGTTTCTCTCTGCTTCTTTACACCACTTTGCCTGTGAGGGTTTTGTACATTAAGTTGCTTTTATTTCTCCATTGTGTATTTGGCTAATAGATTTGTTAGGTGGGTTCTCTCCCTGCAGCACTCACAGCTGTTGGCACACAGCACTTGTGTTTCCCTCAACAGTTTCATTGAAACATCAGCTCTGTTTGCTGGGTTGCAGTTCTCTCCCAGGGAGAATTCTGACCTGGTGCCACCACTGTAACTCAAACCAAGACCTGAACCTGGGGCTGGGATGGCAGAGCTGCTGGGAGCAGCACTGGGAACTTCACAGCCAAACAGCACAAGCCTGGACCAACATCTCGTGCTCCCTGCCAGGCTTTTGCTGTGTCCAGTCCAGCAAATTCCACTCTCCTCTTTGCTTTTCAAGCTATTTAAAATAGTGTTTAAAAGCCTGGGAGCTCACAGTCGATACCTTCCTGTGGGTGTGAAAATGTAGCCCCTCCCAAACCCCCCAAATGGCAGGAGGATCCATTTAGCTCAGCCAAACATCTGAACAGTTGAGGCAGTTTCCAAGTTGCTGGAGACTCCTGGGATGGGGAGGTGATAATTCACTTAATTTTTAAAGCCCTGTAAATAGCTGCCTGTGTTTGTGTGCTCCGTGTGCTGAATGCAAACCCTCCCTGCCACTTCCAGCCCGTGGAGCTGGTTCTGCACGTGTCTGCTGAGCTCAGAGCAGAGTGGGTATTGTAAGGCTGTTAAAAACATTTCTTTATTCATAAGTGCTTGTTTCTCACCTCTTTAGTTGTGCAAATGCAGCTCTCACATGTAAAACTGGAAAATGTAATGCCAGAATGTTTTAAAGATTTCTCTTCCCCCCTTTTCCTGCTGCATGGCATCTCTTCCAAGGGAAAGA